CGAAAATGCCGAACCGCCACGTGCTCCCCCAAACACTTGACTTTGTACAACCTCAACCTCAAAGTCTCTCAACTCCAAAGGCCCAACTCGCTATTCAAACATTCTTTGATGTTCAATCTTTGGGATTTTGGCTTAAAAGGCTTAAGATTTCGCATTCGCCTTACACAACCTCTTCTCACTTCTAAAAATCCTTCTTCACGGAAAGCACTCAAGAGTTCGGGTTGTTCTAGTGTTTCGGGTGCTTCCATCTGTGCGCATAGCGGGACTGTTCTGTCTGTGTCTCCTCCAAATGCCTAAGCCGCCGGAACCCCGACCCCAGCTTCAATGCAAGCTTGAGCTTGAAGGCCAAAAGACTTCGGCACTTTGGCATGTCATCCTCACCTAGAGAAGGCCCTTCAATATCCTGATTTCTACGTCCTTGAGCGTTACAGCCCAGGGGCCCATGGCTTTGGATTCTAGATGATTCGAAGCCCCCCCCTCCCCCTCCCCCCCCCAAAAAAAAACCGTCGGGCTTCCGAGCCCTTGGAGGTGCCGCGCGTCGTCGTCGCCCCAGTCGCCGAGAAGGCGGCATCCCTTCTGCTGCACCTGAGTTTCAGAGCTTTTGGGTCTTGGGTCTTGCATCGGCTTCATCTAGAGGTCTTAGGTTCGGGGAAATTTTTAGGGCTTCGCAACTTGAGGGCTGCACAACTTCAGGGCTTCAGGGAGGCTTAGGTTGGGTTGAAGCGAGTTTCATTTCGGTGGTTTCACCAGTTCCTGTGAGTGACCCTTGAAAGGGGTACAAGCTCTATTGACTGTGGCTCCGAGGGATCTAGCTTCGCAGTGGGAGGTTCGTCAGATTGCGCTTTGAAGCTTTGATGTTTCAGCAGTCATCGACATGAGCCTTTAGGTCCTAGATCGAGATTGGGGGTTAGAACATGACATTCGAACATGACATTCTTGTCCAATCTTCCATCAGTAGCCCATAGCTCCTCAAGCCCTCAGCCCGTGAAGCTTTGAAGTGGATTTTGAGGCGGATGAAGTTTCGATTGTCTCTCTTCTCTCCGAAAAAGGGTGTCAAGGGGAAAGGGCACGTGCAAGGTCTAGCGCTCCTCCCTTTAGAGTTTAGGGATTGTCGGTCGGAGATCAGGGCGGAGATCAGGGTGTCTGCATTAAGGATGCAAGGTTGGGTCAAAAAACATGGGGTGCATGGTTCAGGAATGTCTAGGAGTTGGATTTAGGATTTGTGGTTGGGATCTTTCCTCCGGGCCCCTGGCTTCTGCATAGTCGACGCAAACCTGCCAAGTATACTTGGGGATTACTGGGCTTAGGGTTGTCAGTTTGTTTTACAACAAAAGCAGCCATGTGTTGATGTTTCAATCATCGACTTGGCGCATTTACACCAGGAGACATGACACCTTAACATTGAACCATGAGTACCGTGTAAGCCCGTTTAAGGGTTGATTGAATTAGTAACATAAAGCTTTTACTCAGAGCGTCGCGTGGGACCAAGCATGTGCTGAAAACTGAGGCAAGCTTGGTCTAAAAGCTGTCTCCAAACTTAGGAAGCTCGAGCTCAGTCAACAAAAGCTAATTGGTCTTTTTCGACCTGCCCAAGCAAGGCTGCACCTAGGACTTTTGCGCTTTGGATTTATGGACTTCTGCTGTTCGCAAGCATTGGCGTAGGTGGACAGCCGTTGCACTGCCAATTCGTTTGAATATACAAACCCGTGCTGCTCGTATCACAACAACCACTGTTCGGTCTGGCCTGTCAGCCGAAGCAAGCCACTTCTTGCAGCTGCTTGCCGGAGTCGGTGGCTCCCAACCCAGGGGTGTAGCTCGCATTCGCACACGTCCGTGTTGCAGTTAAAAAGGTGTGTGTGTGTGTATGTATAAACAAACAAATATATAAAGGAGTTATAACAATATAAATATAAATATAAATACAAATATAAATATAAATATAAATATAAATATAAATATAAATATAAATAAATAAAAAAAAATATATATAAATATAAAGATAAAGATAAAGATAAATATCAATATCTATTTTATACAAACACACATATATATATATATGTATTTAATATATGCTACCCCCCAAAGATCCATCGTTTTAGAGACTTGCAATAGACAACACAGTTCCCGTAGCATGTTTTCTCGTTTCTCCTGACGAGACGTACAACCACCTGAAACATCCAAAGATATCAGTAAAGTATCTAAACAAAACCTTCGGGCATACGTACCCCTTTCACTAGTCTTTCACTCAAAACCACCCTAAACCCTCGCTATACTAAGATATAACAGCACACAACCACCTGAAGCACTGAAAAACAAAAATGCAACCGTAAAGTATCTAAAAAAAACTTCTGGCGGTCTCAGGGAATAGTGAAAAGATATTTGCTCACAGTATTCTCGCGTCCCCGGGACTTACAGCAGATGATTTTTCGCATCACCTTGTGCCTTCTCCATTATGTGTGTTTGATATACAATACTTATACCCTGTATACATACATGATGTGGGCACTTCTTCTACTTTCTCTTTGCATTTTCACAGGAGGCAAGCCCTGCCAACATAGGCATAACGCTACGGGATTTGAGGTTTAGGGATTTAAGCCTCAAGCCCTCCAGGGTTATAAGGTTCTACTCCTATAGACAATGCCTATACCTTAAACCCGAAACCTGTAAACCCTATAGGGTCTACCGTGACCGTTTTAGAGAAAAAGCTTGAAAAGACCCTAAACCTTTCAACCCTATAGGGCTCAAAGGTTTAGGGCTAAGGTTTAATCCTTAAATCTAAATGGGCTTAGGTTTCATTGCCTAATCACAGGGTTATAAGGTTCTACTCCTGGGTACTGCCTAAACCTTAAGCCTAGAGGTTTTAGACCCTATAGGGCTAAGCCCGTGAGGGTTTTAGAGATAAACCCGCAGAAAACTCTAAGCCTTGCAACCCTAGAGGCTTTAATGGTTTACAACCCTAAGGTCTGGGCATGTAGAGCTTCAGCGCCTATGGAACCTTTGAGCCTTTTTGGGCCCTATAGGGTTTTAGGGTTCAGACCCCAAAAGGTTTAAATGCCTCAGCCTTAAACCCTAAGGTTTGGACTCTATGGGCTTAGTTTTTAATCCCTAAACCTTTAAACATGAAACTTATAGGGTTCAAACTTAAAGGTTTAGGTTTAATTGCTGACTTATGTGCAAATGCCTACATCTTCAACCCTAAACCTTTAAACCTTAACCATATAGGGTTTAAAAGTTAAGCGTCTGGGTTTAATTGCTTAACCCGAAGGGTTTCGGGGCCAGAGAACAAGCCCGCAGTGGAGCTGAGGGAAGGGGAGCGCGGAGGGGTGTCTAGGGGTGGGGCCTTAAACCAATAGGTTTAGAGAATAAGCCCGCAGTGGAGCTGAGGGAAGGGGAGCGCGGAGGGGTGTTTAGGGGTCCTGGCTATGTGGAAGACCCCTGATACCCTCCTTCTTCCCCCCCCCCTGTTTATAAGCAAACTCCACGCTTGTAAGCAATGAGTGAGTGAGTCGGTGGTCGAGTGAGTGTGGGTTGATGCGTCAGCGGGTCAGTGAATTTGTGGTGTAAATGAGCCAGTGAATCCTAAAGCCAGAGTATGGAGAGGAAATGAGTCCGCGACTCCCAGATTTGAGTACGGAGTGTTGAAGATGGTGGGCTTAGGGTTTTCCTGCATTTAAACTTGCATTTAACAATGTACGTTAAATGCGGGCAGACCCCAGGAACCAAGAACCAAGATGCTGAGGACTCTTAATTCTTGGTTCTTGGTTCCTGGGGCCTGGCTAAATTTAAAACTGCATTGAAAAACTTAAGTTAAATGCAGGCAGACCCCAGGAACCAAGAACCAAGAACCAAGATGCTCAGGACTCTTGATTCTTGGTTCCTGGGGCCTGGCTGCATTCAAAACTGCATTTAACAACTTAAGCTAAATGCAAGCAGACCCCAGGAACCAAGAACCAAGAATCAAGAGTCCTGAGCATCTTGGTTCTTGGTTCTTGGGGATTGGCTGCGTTTAACACTGCATTTATAAATTTAAGTAAAATGCGGCCAGACCCCAGGAACCAAGAACGAACCAAGAATCAAGAGTCCTTGGTTCCTGGGGCTTGCCTGCACTTAACTTTTAAATGCGACTTAAATTCGGGGCCTCGCTCAAGTACATGATTTCAATCTCTTATCGTCATGTGTTTGCCCCTTGAAATCCTTATAAATGTTAAGCAGATGGTTCCGGGTTACGTGAATATTCTATCTCATGCAGCGAAAACAGGTGGATCTTTGGGGGGGGGGGGGGTACCATACATATATATATATATATACATACATATACCCCCCCCCCCATGGAGATTGTGGGTACATGGGGGAGGGGTACCAAAAAACAAATACATGTATATGTATATGTAGATGTATATGTATACCATATATATATATATACAGGTCAGTATTTTAAGGCGAATGATGGCCGTGACATCGAGCTTCGGCTTCTTGCTGCATTGTGAACATCGTTGTGAACTGGCGGCTGCACGTCATCTAATTTTTTGCGAACTATGTTTTTGTGCGTTTCTGTGTTTGTGCGTTTGTTTGTGGGTGTGGGATCGATCAGGGAGGCCCGGCCTGTAAACCAGGACCTGGTCCCTCCGTCCCGAAGGCTTATAACGGTGCATCACGGTCTGATCATGACATGTGAAAACCCTGTTTCTTTTTATGAGCAAGCAACCATCATGTTTGCTTCTTCGATCATACAAGCAACATACACGGAACCCCGTACAAAACCACCATCAACAGCACACACACACACACACGTCCATTCATGCAAGTGTAGTTTAACATGTGCTTGTTCTGACACATGTTCTGAAGACCTACCCACAACTAATGTGACTAATGTGCGAAGTTCCCTGACCCTCCTCCCCTCTTATCCCGACTCCGGATTGCATGTGCGGTTTCTGAAGTTGTGACAGCCGTGCATAGGACTACCCGCAACGGCTGATCAGGAAAGGAGCCCTCAACTGAGCCTCCATGGCATGCAAAGTGAGCAGCAAGCCACCAGCATCCTCGAGCCTGCATCGGTTGTGGAATCTCTTGAGGTTAACCTTAGGTCATTAAGGTCAATAAGGTTAATAAGGTTACTAAGGTTAATAAGCTTAATAAGGTTAAGGGGTGCTGGAAAGCCACATGCGGATGAGGACGTGGGCCCAGGATTTAGGCTATCAACTTCACGCCCGCAGCCCACAAGATTCAACATGATTCAAAACAGCGTGGGCGTTTGCTGGGTATATTGGGCATTCAGGAGTTCGAGGCCTAGGATCCAGGGACTGGGTTTGATAAGGGCAAAGGTTTGGTATGCACGTTGTTGCTGGACTCTTGATGCGCTCCCAGATGCTCTGCCGTTAGGTTCCGGCCTGGCTCGAACATGAGGGCCGCCGTCGGCCAAGGCGCATAGGAGCTTCAGCCTCAGGATGGAACCCTGTCAAAAATTCGGAGTAGGGGCGTGAGTCCTGAGTTTCTAAACCACATTGTCAACTCGAGAGCCAAGTTTACCAACCTCCACACTACGCTACCTTCGATAGTTGACTCAGACCTAGTGGAATAGTCGTGCGATGTCGTAACCTACCCGACCTTCTACTTTTTGGAAACTCACATGGGCAAGAGACATGCACAGAAAAGGATGCCCTGCACATCGCGGATCAAAGTGCTGTTCCTTGCAATGCAAATGCCACCCAAAAGCTGAAAGTTATCTTGGTGCCCTTGTTACCTCTAAGCAAGGGTTTAGGGATTCGGCCTCAAGCCGGCGCCAGCATTTCCATCAAGGCCAAGCACCAAGAAAGTTGACCGTTCAAGGACAACGGTGGGTGCTGTTGCCAGGATGGGGAAAACGCCACGGCCGTGCGCCGCAAGGATTGCAAGGATTCAGTTGCTGCAGAAGATATGTCACAGCAGCGACTTTACCAGGCACCTGATCCTCCCAGATCTCCGGACCCTCAGCTCCCACCAAGTCTTCCACTGCTGAAGTTCTGGTGCAGTGGCCGGGCTTTATGGCATTTGGGGCCTTTAAGGCTTAAAGGGCTTGTACGCAAGCCAGACAGGAGGCCCAGAGGTAAGCCCCAAATGATCCGAAACCCGATTGCTCGGGTGCCCGGGCGCTTCCACTTGCATCGGAGCTGCAGTCGGATGGGCCTGCAAAAGAAGTCTTCGGATTTGATCTTCAAGTCTCTATGGCTGGGCGCAGTTTGGAATTAAAGAGTCGCAGGACAGTGATGTCTGAGTTCTTCAAGTCTGTCTGGCAGTTGCTGGCTGTTTTGGTACTGGCAGATCCTGATTGGCGATTGGGTGGGCAGTTGAGGAGTAGCTTCAAGTCTTGAACTTGCCGGAATCGTATGCGTTTGGAGCGCTCTCACTCTTATTTGAAAGGTGCCTCAGGGAGACCATTGGGCTGTCAATACTTGCTTTCATGCCGCACGGCTTCACAAACAAAGCTGAAATCTAAATTGAGTTGCCCATACTGGCGGACTTACAGTTCCTGGTTCCATCGAATCGGGTTCGAAACGGTTCGATACTCAACAAGATGTGAATTTCAAAGTTTTTGGAAGGAAGGATGTAGCGCTTGGGGTTCAAAGACTTGAGCAGACCTAAAGCTAGAAGGCTAAGACGAAGTGCATCTGAGATCTCGGGTTTGAGGATCCGAACGTGCGCTCACATGCGTCCTTTCATCTACACGTGTGCGCACAAGCGCAATGCAGACATGCTCACTTGCATCATGTTGTTGGCATCAGTTGTCTGTACTTACAGCATACCTGACTCATCATACCCTCCATGCTCGCCGCGTTGCTGCACCCTTTCTAGCAAACACTCGGGAGTCCTGCAGCTAAACCCTTGCGACCCGTGAAGAGAATCATGGAACGACACCCTCTAGCCAAACACTCACCCGAAGAAGCCCACGAGCCTCGAGCATGCGGCACGTGGCCTCCAAACCACCACCGGCCACTGCGGCAGCACGGGCCTCTCGCCCGTGGGCGACGAGGCCTGTGTGATACCGCTTTTAAGTGTGTTGTGATGGTGGGCCATGGTAAGCTTCTTTTTTGGTGGTGCCCATCTGAATACACGTGGGACCCATGGTCATGGTGGCTCATTGGAGCTCATTGTACACGGTGTACGAACAACACTTGCTTAGGCCCGTGTCAATGCACTTTACCATTGCTGTCCACAGCAAAAACTGCGTAAACTATCGGCTGCCCCATCCTGGCTCACCTTTGTCCGAAGGTAAGATAGTAAGCTCCACCTACATGCACAAAAGAACCTAAAATCTAATCGTCTGCAGCCTCAAGCCCTAAATCCAAAGAAGCAAGCAACGCAGCTCGAAGCGCAAACCCTCACAACCCCGAACTTCCATTTCGAAAGGGCTTAGCTTGCGACAGGGATCGACAGGGCCGAGTAGGGTTTGCGGAGTGCTTGCAGGCTTCAGGCTTTGAGGCCTTGGAACCTGATTCGTTCTGTCCCAAGGCGGAGCCTGTGTGTGTGTGTGCTGGCTGGAAGCGACTAGTTCCCCAAAGGCGGAGATGTTATCTTTTCAATAAGGTTGGCCCTGGCTTGTTTTCCTTGCTGCTGGTATCGTCGGCTCCCTCCTTCCTGGCTCCTTCTGCATTTCTGGCTCTCTGCAGGCTCAGAATGCTGAAAATGCAGCAGTTTTAGATGTTCCAAGGCTCCAAATGCTGTAAACTTCTGCATTTCTATCCCAAAGCTGTAAATTACAGCATGTCTATCCAAATCGCTGTAGATGAGCTCCAAGTGCTACATAATGCCGCATTTCTGACTAAACACAAACCGCAGATGCTCTCAACCAGAGCATTTCTGACGGTTCACAGACTTCAATTGCTGTATGCTTGTTTTCCGCAAGAGATGCAAGCTCCATACGCTGCATTCTGGAGTTCACAAGCTCAAAACGCTGTCAGTAACAACATTTGAAATGTAAATTGCAACATTCTTTGCTGACTAAAAAACCTGTTCCCACGCCCCGTCTCTAAGCACACTGCTCGTGTAAAGGTTTTGTGTCTTTGCTACCTTGTTTCTTCTCTCCCCTGGGGAGGTGGGCCCTGTAACTGCCAGCACTTTCACGCATTCCTTAGGCTTAAAGGCTCAGAGGCAAGTTTGCACAGCTTTTAATTTCAAGGAGCGGAGGCGGGTGCAGCAGCTCACCCCCCCCCCCCCCCCCCCCCCCCCCCCCTTCCAACACGACGCTCGTATGAAGCAAGCTGGCATAGTTGTGGTTGGCGGGTGCGCAGCCCCTCGGATCATGGGTTGGTTGACGGAGGACTGGACGCTTGACAGGATCAGAGGGTCAGGGTACTGGGACCAGGGGTTGGCTCGGGGCGAGGGGGGTTCGCCAACCTTGTCAAAAAACCATGCCAGGGCCAGGAAAGAACAAAAACACCAGGCCCGTTCCCCAAAGCTCGCAACAAATAACATTCAAGAAGCAACACCCATGTTCAATCCTTTTCTGATTTCAATTCCAAACAACATTCGGCTGTGAGCCCCGATCCAAGGTTACCATCCTGAGACTTCAAAAATATAAATGCCACACCCTGATGGCACAGGAGGGCCCCCTAGCGCCTACCAGTAGCTCGAAGAAGAGCTTCTGCAGCTCGTCCGAGCCTTGGAGCTTCCCAATGAAATCCGAGTTTCAGGACGTTGGGACTGTGTAGGCCAGGATTCAGGTACCAAAGCCTTAACCCCAGAAACATGGGCAATCTGGAACAGTAGAGTTCTAGGGTTTAGGCACCCGTCAACCTTACAACTTTCCATGTTCATCAGGAGTTTGGGGTTCAAGGTTTTATGGCTTGAGGCGTGAGGTAAACGGGTTTTGGGGATGTTCAGGTCTATGGAGTTGAGGGGACTAGCCTGGAAAGGCTAAATGCTACTCAGGGAATGGCCATGTTAAGCACCCCACAGCTAACCCCAAAGCCTTACCCCGCGGGTAGGCTCGAATGCTGAAATGCGCACAGCGCAAGTCCGGGGCAAGCCCAAGCCCCAAAACCGTCTCTTTCAGCCACTGATTTGGGACTTGCAAGGTTGACGTTTTGGGATCAGATTTCGGGCATCCGGCTTGGACCTAACACTGTGGCCCTGCGGCCTGGGTGAAAGGTCATGATCTCGAGAATCACCGAGATGAGATTGCCTGCAAACGTCTGGGCTCTTGCGTCCTCTAGTCTAGGCTCCAGAACCTCGGAAGGTCTGCAAGTCTCTACGTGGTGAAATTGCACAGGCTTCGCCATGATGACGTGAGCGACCATGGTCCTTGAGCAGGGCCATAGCAGAACATGAGGCAGGCCTTCCACAAATAGGCCTCGAATCTCTGTGCCTCAGGAGTGAAAGAAGCAGACACCATTGACAACTCGAGAAAGTATCTGCGCTCTCCATGTTGAAAGTTACCTTAACCAACTAACCAAAATGTTGCACAAGTTTGACACCTGCTGCCTAGCAGATCTGGTCTTCCGTGAAGGAACCTTAAGCTCTTTCGCCGCTTTCGCCCGGTAAATAATGCTTCTGCCATGTTCTGCCTCTAGCATGTCCAAGGGTTCCGAATGGGCCAGGCAAGTACGGTTTAGTGTGCGTGTGGTTATCCCTAAAGTCTCTGCTGGGGCCTAGGGTGCGTGGGTGGTGAGGCTCTGTGAGTCTGAACACCCTAGGGACAGTTGATCGTGTTGAAGACCAACTACTGTGAACCGAACGCTCTTGGACATTGCTGGGCCTTGCGGCCTTGCATGTGCAAGGCTTACTGGCACCGAGCTTGAGAGACCAGCTGGGTCAGACCTGTAAAGCCTAAGCCTGTGCGGCCTAGACACGACATGCCAGCGAATACCAGCACTTAAAATTTTAAGCAACCTTTGAATGGAAATCCTGTGAACGAGATTTTCAAATGCCGATGACACCCCGCCCCAGAACACCTGAAGCAAACGTCTCAGAACTGTAAACCCATAATCTGCGCCTTGAAAGCTCAAAAGATACTGGACAACCCATCCATCCTGACCCATCCATCCTGAGGCACAGGCTTCGTGCAGTGAGGCTCGTCGCTGACATGCACGCCCGCATCTGCACCTCGTATTTGCTGGGTTTGAGAGCTGTGCTTGAAGCCTGGACCTGGCCGCTGAGCTGACCACCACGAACGGCCTCTGAAATTATTATTGAACTTGGCTGGATTTCCTGTGCGAGCAAGGACCCGCTTGGAGTCTTGAGCTTTGGCAGGATTTCTTTTGCAGCCCTTCTAGCAGGCACCAGCAAAGCTTCGGAACCGCTTCAAGCGCTGCGCAAGAAGTTGAGAGATTACCCCTTTGGCGTTGAGAGGTTCGACAGGCAGGTGCCCTTCAGACTTTATCAAATCGCATCCCAAACTGCCTGCCTGCAGATTCTTGGCGTGTATTGTGAAGACCTGCAAGGGTCTTTGAACCGGAGGGGGCTTGAGGCATGGCATTTTCAGGACTCGCGGTTTCGAAGCTATGCGGTTTCAAGGCATGGAACTAAGCATGGATACCTGGATACCTGCCTTAGAGACCACATTGCCCCAGGCAGTGCTTCAACCTGTAAGCCCTCATGCCCTCGTGATTAGGGTGGTTGTCGCATTAGTCGCAGTCAAAGTTAAAGGATGTCAGTGGCGCTCCGATACCCGTGGCGATGACGAGGAAGGCTCAAAAATAGGCGATGCGGCCAACAACAGAGGGCAGTGCCTTTAATCTGTTGCCCGAGGGTTGGCCAGGAGGGCTGTCGACTCGAGATTCTAAAAGAAAGCAGGGTTCCAGGATACTGGCTCACATTATAGAAGCGACGCAGCATCCAAACCTTCCAAGCTTAAAACGCCTTCACTGGACAAATGCTCTGCATCATTTGGAAAACGCTGCGCTGGCCTGAAAACTACTTTCGATCGTACACCCTCCCCCCCCTCCCTCTTGCGCGCCTGCAAGAGCAGGCCAACACCTGCTTGGTTTTAGGAGTGTTTTGGTTGAGAGTTCATGCTGGGGCCTAAAGATGTGTGCTGCTGCGCCCCTGTTTTGCTAAGGAGCGTTGCTCTGCATGCACAGTTGACAAATAACTTTCAGCCTCTAATCTTCCTGAGAATCGAACTTAGGGTATTGGGCGCAAGGGAAGCGGCATAATGGCCCGCAATCTTCGACAGAGTACAGGGATTGGCAGATTGGAGGCTACTCTGAACCCTAAAGCGAGATGATGCAAGCGGGTCGGTTCTCCAAAAACCCCACTCCCTCAGGCAAGGCCTCAACCCCAAAAAAATCACTAAGGTTCCCGACCTCCCAAGACGATGATGTCTTCAGTGCTCTCTGCTGCTCCTTGGCAGATGCGGGTAGGCTTTTAGACTTGGGCTTAGACTTAGGCTTTTGGGTCGAAGGTATAGCAACCTGGTAGGTATGTGTGATTGCACGGCTCGCTCTCGCTCTATCGCTGTCTTCTGCTGCTTCTTCTTCTTCTTCTGCGCACTTCAAGGCTCTTCTTCTTCTTCTTTTTCTTCATCATCTTCTTCTTCTTCTTCTTCTTCTTCTTCGGGGCTTGAAGGGCACACGAAGCGCCCTCCGTGCACATGGCGCGCCCAAGTTCCTGTCTGGGTCGGTGTGACACTATCGCCCCTGCAGGAGGATTGATTGACCAGCCAGCCACTACCTCATCACCCCTAACCCTCCAACCATCGATGCCGTTCCTCCTGTCCACTGGGCTGTGCTACAAGGGCATGTTCCCCGACTCCACTGTGCAGGCTGCTGAGTCTGCACCTACTTGCACACTATTCAAGACGCTACCAAGGAGGTCTAGCTATACGAATCAACACTGGAGTGGGTTCGCCCGTCTGCTATCGTTGGCCTTTCCCCCACCTTTCCTGTTGGTCTAGTCACAGACAGCTCTCTCTCTCTCTCTCTGTCTCTCTCTGTCTCTCTGTCTCTCTCTCTCTCTCTCTCTCTTCCTTTCTCTTCTGTAAATCATGTTGTGGAGTTCTCCATGTCCAAGCTTCGAGTTCGGGGATTTAGTGTAACCTGAGAGTCGGAATAATCACAGACAACCATTTCGGAGCCAAAAAACCTAGAAATGCTGAAGGTTTGCAGGGAATATTAAAACATCCGGGAGTTCCTGAAACAAGTGGAAACAGGGCAGGAACAAGGGCCAATGAAAGGTAGAATGTACAGCACGTTCTTCAATGTTTTTCATAAGGCTTAATAAGCCCCAAGTCGAGACGTAGAGCCAAACCTCGAAGACATCAAGCGCTCAGCGCTGCAAAGCGACAGTCCTACCCTACGATCTGAATCTGTGAAACCTCAGAAGCCTTGTCACCGAAAGAAGCCCAACTATAACACACACACACACACCCACCCACTCACCCACCCACGCACGCACGCACCCACACACACACACACACACACACGCACTTTTTGCTTTAGTGTTTGGCATGAACTGGTTGATGGTGATGCTCCGAAAGTAGATATGCTCTAGCAAGCCACCGAGGTACCCGTCCGTAGAGATGGCAAAGAACTTCACGAATGGAGTTTTATGTGAGTGAAACTTGCCATACTTGTACATGAATCACACCATCTACATGCTCACACACTGCTCAGTCACTCAAAACTGCTCATCTGTGCTACAAGCTCAAACACCGAACATGCTTAATCCCTCATGTATGCTCATCACTTTCACATGTTCGAACACTGATCATGCTCATCACTTCAGTTGTTCACAACATGCTCCGAACCTTCCCAAACCTGCTTGATGTCCTCGTCCGTGCTCATGCGTGATCCACCAACATGCTCATGCAAGTATGCTCTGCTGCTGCTCTGCCACTGCTCATCTCTGTCATGCTCTGCACTCATGTCATGCTCACGGCACGAAGAATTCACCCATGTTCCAAGCAAAAAATCCAAAATCACGTCGAAAAACTGCATTGTAGTTGAGGTAGTAGAACAGCAGCGAGGACGGAACCAATGCACAGGTTGCGTTACAGGATGTCTAAGACAATCACGCAGGTACACGTTCTGGCGTCCCAGAACGCTTCACCACCAATTGCAAGTGTCTTCGTTGGCAGGAGACTTGCAATGGTGCTCCTGCCCCCTGCTGTCTCAGAAAGGTTTTGGTGTAATGCGACCACATTGGTTAACACGTCATGAAGGCCTTTTTGACTTCAATCTGCAGTGCTTGTTGACGAACCCGCATGTACAGCGGTGTGCCACACACACACCCACACACCCACACACCCACACACCCACCCACCCACCCACCCACCCACCCACCCA